CTCGGCGGCCCTGGCCTCGGGGTGCCGTCGGCGGCCGCGCCGCGAGCGGCCGCCGGAGGCCCGAGGGATGGCCCCAAGCGTGAAGTCGGGCACGTCCCTCTGCAGGAGGAGTATGGAAGAGTAGTCAGAAGATTCGGGGGCGGCAGAGAGGGGGGTTGATGACTAGGGGGGGGGGTGGATATCATGGCGCGGGCCATGAGATCTCCCCAGATCTCATGGCGCCTCTTCTTATTTCAATGCGTCCCTGGCCCCCCCCCCCTGGGCCACGCACATGCCGCCGGCCATGATTTGCGCATGTGTCTCGCATTGCATGTTGTCCAGACGCGCCAGATTCCCGAGGCCTCGGCCTCGCTCACCCGGTCTTGAGTAGGCCCCGACGCTGTCCGCAACGGTGGTCGCATCGCATCGCGTCGCACCTCTCGGACGCCCCCCTCTTGGCCGACCCCGAAAAATAGTTTTGGGACGATTGTTGGACAATTTTTGGCTATCTTTGCAAATGTTTCGACCATTTTCCAGTTTCCCTTTGAAGTCCGCGTGCAGGGGGACATGCCCGACCCAACCCAACCGCCACCTTGCGTCGAGGGGTTCAGGGGCAACGAGAGGGGTGGATGGGGTCAGGGGGGGATGCATCGACCCCGAATCCCGATTCATCGCTGGCAGGGACCCGATAGCCCGCCCCGCCCGAGCGTGCGGATTCACTGACAGAGGCCCGTCCCCATCTGTCGGCGATGTGTCCCCGGCGGTTCCAGGTCGATGTTCCCCCCTGGCATCGAGAGGCGTGCGGTTCCGCTGTTGGGGGCCTCGCGCTGATCTCTCGGCGATATTCGGCCGACTCCAGCTCGTTGACCCCCCCCTGGGTGCGGGCCCCCCCCTCCTATCTTCCCCCCTCGCCGCTGCTCCTGCCCGCCCGCTGCTGCTGTCCTCCAGAGGGGGAGGATGGGGAGGGACGCGGGGGGAGGAGGAGGTCGATGCCGCCCTCGCCTCGTCGCCAGGTCCGTGGTCCCTTTCGCATGAAGGGAGGGGTCCAGGGATTTTTTCTTTCTTTTTTTTATTTATACATATATATATATATATATATATATCTTTGCCCCCATGTCGGGTGTTGCTAGACGTGCCTCTGGCCCAAGGTACCCCCCAGGATTTCCAAGGAGGCCCCCACGGCCTCCAGAGCGCCTTCACGAGGCCCAGAGGGCCCCAGTGGCTCCAAAATTGAACGAACAGCTGGGGGCACCTTGGGCCAGAGGCACCTTTAGTAACCCCCGACCATAGGGGGGAGGGTGCAGCAGATGAAGGAGGAGGGGTGAGGGAGCGAGAAGAGGGGGAGGAGACAAGCCAGGGGCGCTCAGCCCACATCTGACATCCTACGGTTCCCACCCATCCCTGCCCGCGGCGCTGCTTTTTTCTCTAACCGCTGGCGCGTGTCATAGCGGTCTTGGAATTCCCAGGAAGGACCTCGTAGTCCCATGGTGTCAGGGAGCTGCGTGCACTGGAGGAGGACAAGGAGGATGTCGCGGACGCACAGGAGGAAAAGGAGGAGGAGGAGGAGGACCAGTGTATACTCACATACAAAGGAGGAGCATGAGGAGGAGGAGGAGGACCAAAAAACCCTCCCCTCTTCATAGGCCCCTACAAGAGTTTATTTTCACTGAGGGAAGTGCCCCGTTGGAAGACAAACGTGGGAAAATCTTGAATTGTGCCACGGCGCCATTCCGGGGACTTCAGCGCCGCGAATCACACTTACTCTTGCGTCTTGACGATCCTGAATCGTGCCAGAACACCGTTTCTGGGAATTCATCACCAAGTCTACGCAACTGTTGCACCCTGACAGTCCGACATCGTGCCCGAATACTATGTTCTGCTGTTGTTCATGAGAACCTGTGAAACTGTTGTTAATTCTTTGGTGAACTCTTAAGCCGAATCTGCGCGGCGCTAAGGGCAAGAGCCACATTTTGAAGAGGAGCCGCCCTCCATCCGCGAAAGTGTTGGATTTTTACAATAGAATCGAATACGAGCACTGCTGAGGCGGGAGCCACATTTTGAAAGCGGCCCGCCCTCCGTCTGTGAAACTCCTTGCAATTTTAAAAGACGAATGTGCGCACCGCAAAGGCGGGAGACACATTTGGAAAGCCGCCCGCCCTCCATCCGTACAGCTGGTGAGGAAGGTTTAGGCGAAACGCCCGGCGCGCCCTTTCGACCGGCCTCGGGGAGCGACAGGGAGAAGTTAATTACAAGGAAAAGGAATGGAGAAGACGAAGATCGAAGGAGGGGGACGAGGACGAAAAGCAGGAGCAACAGGAGCTCGAGTGGAATAAGCGGGAGCAGGAGAATCAAGGGAAGGTGGAGGCGGGGAAAAGATGGGGGGCGACAACGAGAAGAAAGCATTCAGACCCAGAAAAGTGGCCCGCGCTTTGACCGACGGGAGCAAAGCGCCGATCCTGAAATGAGGCCCAAGCTGCAGCGGCAGCACCAGTGTGAAGGACCGAACAACGATTGGATTTGTGGTGTAAAAATGTGAGTACGCGGGGGGAGGCGGGCCACTCCACGGCCATCTTCGGGGGAGAGAAAGAGGAGAGCAGTATCCGTGATGAGTCATTGTAATGAGATAAGGAATAGTAGCCTCCTCCTCCTGTTGTCAGGACGTCCGCAACCATTTTGGCTCAAGTGTTTCCTGCAGCCAGCCTTCCGAGCACCCCCAGCCACACCTGAATCTGCCACCAATGACCTCGGCCACGGAGCGCATGGAGCTCGCGGAGGTCGGCGACGAGGTGGGCGAGTCGGAGCAGTTCTTGGTCCAAGTCGCTCGCGCCCGGCGTTCGCCCTGGCGGGCGGCGGGTGGAGGCGTGGCCGCCCTGCTCCTGGCAGGCGCAGGCGCGGGGGCTGCGCGCATGGCGCTACACAGGGCGGCCTCGGACACGGACCGCCTCCAGAGCAAGGTGCAGACGGTGGCCATGCCTCCGCGCGATAAGTGCGCCAGCACGGACGACGACTGCTACAGCTTGGGGTGTTGCAACGTTGCTGGTTTGAATTGCTTCGAGACTAAGCCGGGGAAGGGCAAGTGCCTGAAGAATTGCACCCCCAGCGCCTCCCAGCTGTGCGTTCAGACACAGCCGATCATGGATCCAATCCTCAAGGATGCCGACTGGTACGGTCCGTCATTGTATTGCTTTGCAGTGGTCATGCAGGACATCGGCAGCACAAAGAAGATGTACGATTTGGAGCTACTCCAGGGAGCATACGGCAGGAAAACCAGCATTTTCGGGTGCGAGAACTGGGGAGTATTCAGCGACAAGGAGGGGGAGGTCGGGCCTGGCGCTCCGCTCGTGAAGCTGGAGGATGCCGACGGGGATTTCCACTTTGCGAAGAGAGAGGAGACCGGCACCTGGCTGAACACGGGCTTGCATTACCAGGCTTGGAAGGCAATCGGGGAAGCGGGCGTGTACAAGAGCGCCAGCTGGGTCGTGAAGGTCGATCCAGACGCGGTGTTCGTGCCGAGCCGCTTGGTGTCTTACCTCTCCAGCAAGCTGGTCCCGTCCACCGGCCTCTACCTCGAGAATTGCAAAGGCGTTAAGTACGGATGGTTCGGTAGTTTGGAGATCTTCTCGGCGGTGGCCTTCGAAACGCTCCTGGGGTCGATGGCCTCGTGCAAGGACACGGTCGATTGGAAAACGGGCATTGACGGAGGCAAGTACGGCCCTATGGGCGAGGATTTGTTTGCGCAGGTTTGCTTGGATACGAACGGCGTCTCCCGTGGAGAGGCATTCGGCACCAAGCTGGACGGAACTTGCGAGGCGGACCGGCCAGCCGCCGAGAAAAAGAACAAGAAGTGGAAGCCCACGTGCGACGGCGAGAACTTCCCAGCGTACCACCCGCTGATGAAGCCCGAGGACTATATGGCGTGCTTGGATGCTACCACCAAAGCATTCGGCTACTGAGCGCCGAACAGGAGCCAGTGAAGTTGCAAGCGTTTTTCGCGCTGCCCTGGCCATTCCTCGCCACACAAAGTTGGTGTTGAGATCTGCCTGAGGCAGCCGGCAGCCTGGCGCTGCTCAATAATCATGGGAGCCCCCCATTCTCTTCCAGCTCGTCCTGACGTCCCAGTGGCCATCGAAGGCATCCTCACCGTAGTTTGCAGTTCCCTGCCGTGCATCAGCATCTGCTCTTCTGCGGAAGCCTCCAATCTATCCCAATCCGCATCGATGTGGCGAGGGCCGAAACAGACAATCCTCTGTTGTCAGGGCTCGTCGCGCGGAGCTGGAACAAACAAACAAACAGGAAGAGAACCTAGCGGCAATCATGAGAAGATATCGGGACTGTGAAGAGCCCTGGGGATCAGTAATCGGATACTTCGGTCTCCTTGTCCTCCCTCCTTCCTCCGTTCTCCGCTTCGAGGCCTGTGGGGACTACGCCCGAGGATATGTTTTTTATCTTTGATGGCTGAGCTAGGGTCCCTACCCTGGCTCGGCCGCAATGTGGAAATGGAGCACGCTCAGGCAACGCTCCTCGCCGTATCATCAACCTGCCTCCGCCTCGCCCCGCATGCCAGAGCCTGTGGCAGCCGCGCCAGTCACAGATCGAGACATCTTTTGGATTCGTCGTGCTCCCAGCGCCGCCGCACCCGTGTCACCGCCGCCGCCGCCGCCGCCGCCGCCGCCTCCCCCGCCGCCGCCGCAGCCGCCGCAGCCGTCGCCATCGTCGTCGTCATCGTCGCCGTCGCCGCCGTCGTCGTCGCCGTCGCCGCCGCCGCGCCGCCGCCGCCGCCGCCGACCCCGAGGAGGCCGCCCGGGTCGCCGAGCCCGGGCCTCCTGCCCGGCGGCGCGGCGAAGAGGCCCCGGCGGGAGGCGCCGGCCCCGCGTGGCGGCGCCGCGCCCACCGCGGCGGGCGGCGGCGGGCCCGCGGCGGCGGCGGCGGGCGGCGGCGCTGAGGCGACTTCGCAGGGCGGCGCCGCGCCCGCCGCGGTGGGCGGCGGCGGGCCCGCGGCGACGGCGGCGGGCGGCGCCGAGGCGGCGCCGCAGGGCGGCGGCGACGGGCGGCGCGCACAACTCGGGGATCCGGGCGTCGTCGTCACGGTTTCCTCGCCGGGCGTTTTGGCCCGGCTTTGGGCCCCATGGCCCTCGCAGTGCAGGCCTCCCAGATGGGGTCCAAGGAGATGGCGTTGAAGGATCGACGATGCGTCGACGATGCGGCTCGATGTGGAGCCAGGATGTTCTCCACGCCGATGGCGCCGGTGCATCGCCGACGTCGCCGATGCATCTCCAATACATCGCCGATACATCGGCGATGCGTTGGCGATGCAGCGCGATCCTCCGACCCCATGTGCTCGGACCCCATCAAGGAGGGGGGTCTACGCACATCGATCTGGTTCGAGAGATGCCGCAGAACGATGGTGTGTGTAGGGCTTTGGTTGTGATGTTTGACGATTTCTTGATTTTTGTTCGACTTGCGACGTCCAGTCTCAGGGTAGGGGGTGGCGCGCGGGGGGGGGGTCCCCCTAAGAGGGCGGAGGGGTCTTCGAAGAGTGCAGGTGGCTTCTTCGGTGCCCCCCAGGCTTCCATTGGAAGCCTTCCTGGGAGCCCCTGGGCGCCTCTCAGAAGCAGCCCCTTCCAATGCGCGACCCCAGAGGTCCTGACCCCTTCCCGGGACAGTTTCGCCACAGGGCAACCCTTGATTGTACCGGTAGCCAAGAAGGAGCCCCCAGGTGCCGAACTCGAGGAAAACGCTTGTCCCAGACAGCGGGCGTCCCGATTTTTTCGAGACACGGGCCCCCGGCCTCGACCGTTTCCCTGGGAACGGTTTTTCATCCCGAGACGTTTTTTTTTTCAAGGTCCCATGGCCTGGAGGGCTGGGGAGGTCGAACGCTATGAAGTCTGGGCACGCCCGTGTTGAAAAGTCGTAGGAGATTTGGCTTCTTCGAAGACTTCCCGCTTGGCTGAAGTCGTGCACGTCCCTCCACAGGAGGAATATTCAAAAATAGTTGTCAAATAGTGTGGGGACGATTCTTCGAATATTTGTTGACCATTTTGGGGTAATTTCTGGGTATTGTTCATTTTTCCTCCAACATCTGCCTGCAGGGGGACGCGCCCGACCTAACGCTTGGCGCCGACCCCTTGTTTGCGAGCCGCCGAGGCGAGGCGGGCGGGGGCGCCCACGGCGGCTGGCTGGCGGTCGTCGAGCAGACCGTGTGCGCGCAGCGGGGCGACGTCCAGCGGGTGTTGCGGCAGCAGGGCGGCAAGAACGCGATTGTTGTTGTTGTCGTCGTTGTTGTCGTCGTCGTCGTCGTCGTCGTCGTCGTCGTCGTCGTCGTCTTCGTCGTCGTCGTCGTCGTCGTCGTCGTCGTCATCGTCGTTGTTGTTGTTGTTGTTGAACATTAAACATTATTAATTCTAAAGAATAATTATTGTTGGGCCCCCTGGTGCGCGCCCCCCCCGCCGCGCCTAGGCCGCAGCCACGTTTTCATCATTTTCGTGAGGAAGCCTCAGGTAATTCGATGTGATCAAGATCCGGTTGTTTTGTTCCCCCCCGCTTTCCCTTGCAAAAAACACTATAAAATGAAATTTCTTGTTCAAATATAATCAAATTTCAAGAATCCCTTGCAAAAAATAAGGTAAAGTGGACATTCGCGCGCGCAAGACGAAATCCTTCCAAAAGCTTAGTGTTCGGAGCGATTTCAACATAAAAACATCAAAAAACCAATGGTTTTTCAACAAAAAAAATGTCAAAATCTCATCCCGCGCGCTCTTGCGGATTCGTAGGAAACCCAACACTTTTTAAACATTTCTGTCAAACGGGCTTTTGCGAGCAACTTTTTCGAACTTCTGCGACAACGGTTGCGCACCTGCCAGGGCCATCATCCCTGTCAAATAATACCATGCGGGACAGATTCGTTTTTTTGCGGGACATACACCGCCCCGAATAAGTGACCAAGTTCTGTGGGTGTGTACCCCACGCCAGTGTAGTAGCCACGGTCGTCCGCACGCCACGAAGTGAAGTGTCCCAACGTCATAGGGCGGGAAGCTGGGTTTGGGTGGTCGCGAAGAGTCGTTTGGATATTTGGTAGAGCTTGTAATGCCCCCCCACGAAGTGGGGGTATTGCCTGGTGTCGTATGAAAACCCTGGCACTGGGGAGAACACCACGCGTTCGGGTAAAATGATTGTTGTTGTTGTTGTTGTTGTTGTTGTTGTTGAATTCTCATTTCTGAAGAATATTTATTGTTGATCCCCCCACCGGTGCATACTGTTTTTTCTCAATCAAAGTGTGCCCCTCGACGCTCGCACCCTGTTTTTTGACAGGGAAAGTCTTCCTGCTCAAACTGGCCCCCTGGCCCCCTGGTTACAACAACAACGGCTCCCGCCTGAGACTTCCTTGCAATTTAGGCAGGACCCCCGCTCCCGCCCGAGACTTCCTCGCATTTTATTCAGGAATCGCGCTCTCGCTTGGGACCTCCTTACAATTTATTCAGGAATCGCTCTCCCGGAGCTCTGGAGTCGCGCTCTCGCTGGAGACTTGCTTGCAACTTACTGAGGAATAGCCTTGCGTTGGAATTTCTTCCAATTTGCCCAAGCGCCGCGCTCCCGACACCCAGGCACCCAGGAGTCGCGCCCGTTGTGGCCCCGTGTGCATGCCCTTCGTGGCCCCGCTGTCGCCATTTGTGTCCCCCTCATTGTCCCACGTGGCCCAGTTTCTACCCTCAGTGGCCCTATAGTTGCCTTCTGTGGCCCCGCATTATCTGCACTTCGTGCCCCCATACGCATTCCCTTCGTGTCCCCGCTGTCGCCCTTTGTGGCCTACTTCGCGCCCTTCGTGGCCCTGCTGTCGTTCTCTCTCGCTCTCGCTTTCGCTCGTCGTCGCCGTCGTCGCCGTCGTCTTCGACGTCGTCGTCGTCGTCGTCGTCGTCGTCGTCGTCGTGGTCGGTCCCCTGTCCGTCCCTCTTGGGGTCGGATCGACGGTCCGCGGCCGCCCCGCCGATCAGCGCTGCCGCTGGCCAGGCCGACGGTCCGCGGCCGCCCCGCCGCTTGCCGGGGCCCGGCCTGCAGGGAAGAAAAGAATACCCCCCAAAAGGGGTTCGATCGAAGACGAAGAGGGCGGGTATCGAGCGTTTGGGAAATACGCGTTATTGGACACTCGAGCATATAAGGGCGAACAGTCTTAAAATGATTGTTGCTGTTGTTGTTGCTGTTGCTGTGGCTGTTGCTGTTGCTGTTGCTGCTGCTGCTGCTGCTGCTGCTGCTGTTGTTGTTGTTGTTGTTGTTGTTGTTGTTGTTGTTGTTGTTCTTGTTCATGTTGTTCTTGTTGTCGTTGAATGTTAATTACTTTATTACTGTTGGACACCTTAAAGGCGCTCTGGCGCTCTCGTCGAGGCGCCGGCTACATTTTCATTGAAAATGAGGCTCACGCTCGAGCGGTTCGGAGGGCCGCCAAAACCGGTCCCCCAACAACAACAACGCTCCCCCAACAACAACAACGCTCGCCGCCGAATGCCGCCGTCCTAACAAAACCAGCGTTCCCGCTCGAGACTTCCTCCCGTTGTACCTTGGACTGGCGGGCTAGTCTTTCTCTCATCTGCGCCGCCCCCAGCAAAAACAACGCTCCCGCTCGAGGCTTCCTCTCTTTTTTACGCAAGGCGGTGCTCCTCGCCGCCGAAAACCGCCGCCCCGACAAAACCAGCTCTCCCGCCCGAGACTTCCTTCCGTTTTTCGCTGGACTGGCGCCCAATTCTCTTTTGAATTGGCGCCGCTCCCAGCAAGAACAACGCTCCCGCTCGAGGTTTCCTCCCTTTTTCTTGAAGACGGTGCTGTTCCTCGCCGCCGACAGCCCCCGTCCCGACAAAATCACGGCTCCCGCTCGATGCTTCTTCCTTTCTTACTCAAGGCGGTGTTCCTCCTCGCGCCGAAAACCGCCGCCCCGACAACACCAGCGCTCTCGCCCGAGACTTCCTTCCGTTTTACGCTGGGCTGGCGCCCTATTCTCTTTTGAATTGGCGCCGTTCCCAGCAAGAACAACGCTCCCGCTCGAAATTCCCTCTCTTGTTCCTCGGGACGGTGTTCCTCGCCGCCGACAGCCCCCGTCCTGACAAAATCACGGCTCCCGCTCGATGCTTCTTCCTTTCTTACTCAAGGCGGTGTTCCTCCTCGCCCCCGAAAGTCGCCGTCCCAACAAAACCTGCGTTCCCGCTCGAGACTTCCGTTTTGGTTTGCGCTGGACTAGCGCCCTACTCTCTTCAGCACTTTCGCCGCAAAGCAGCCCTGCTCGAGACTTCTTCCCTTTCTATTCAGGACCAGGTCCTTGCCTCACCGCCGACAGCCCCCATCCCCCACCAAGGCAATCCTGTCGTTCGATACTGCCTTGTGCTTTACCCTTCGCTGGGGTTACACTGGCGGTCTCGCACCAGCGCAGCAAGGCGCGGGCATGTGTTTTCGAGGCGGGATATGTTGAAATTCCTCGGAGGAGGTGTTTGCAAGACCTCATTGTGCAGGAGATCTGGGAATCGGAATAACGGACCCCGCTATAGAACAAGAGTCCCACATTACATGGATGGTTCTCATGATGGTCGCATACTTCGTGTGGAAACATCGTGCATGAGGGTAACATGATTGTTGTTGTTCTTGTTGTTGTTATTGTTCTTGTTGTTGTTGTTGTTGTTGTTGTTGTTGTTGTTGTTGTTGTTGTTGTTGAAAGACACCGGGTCTGGCCCCCCAGCCCCCCCCCCACACCAACCAACCAACCCTTCCTCCCGATTCCCCCCCGTCTGGGGGCGCTCTTGGGCCATCCTGGGGTCCCACTCGCCGTCGGGGGGGGTCCTTTGGAGCCGTCTGGGGCCGTCTGGGGGGCCTGGGGGGCCGTCTTGGGCGTCTTCCTCAATTTTCACCAAGGTTCATTAGGGGTATTGCTATTCAATGCGGCGCGTTTTCTCTTTCAGTCTACGTTTCATGCGGCCGCCAGAGCGCGTGTGTGCGTTTGTGCGTGCGTGCGTGCGTGCGTGCGTCTCTCTCTCTCTCTTTGTCTCTGTCTCTGTCTCTGTCTCTGTCTCTCTATCTTCCTCGCTCTCTTTGTGTCTTCTGGGGAGCGGAAAGGGAAGCAGCGGCAGCAGGAGGGGCTGGAGGGGAGGGAGGAGGGACGGGAGGGGAGGGGTGATGACGATGATAATGAGTGGAAGGAGGGACGATGATGAGGGGAGGGGGACGATTATGATGATAATGACGGCGATGAGGATGATGATGATGATGATGATGATGATGATGATGATGATGATGTTGATGATGCTGATGATGATGATGATATTGATGACGATGATGATGATGATGATGCAGATGATGATGATGATGATGACGATGCTGACGATTATGATGATGCTGATGATGATGCAGACGATGATGATTATGATGAAGATGATGATGTTGATGATGATGCTGAGGATGCTGATGATGATGGTTATGATGATTATGGTGATGATAACGATGATGAGGATGATGATGACGATGCTGCTGATGATGATGATGAGGATGATGATGACGATGATGATGATGATGATGATGATACGGATGTTGATGCTGATGATGATGATGATGATGCTGATGATGCTGATGCTGATGCTGCTGCTGATGATGATGCTGATGATGATGATGATGATGATGATGTGATGATGATGATGATGATGATGATGATGATGATGATGATGATGATGATGATGATGATGATGATGATGATGATGATGATGATGATGATGACGATGATGATGATGATGATGTGATGTGATGATGGATGATGATGATGACGATGACGATGGATGATGGATGATGATGATGATGATGATGATGATGACGATGATGATGATGATATGATGATGATGATGATGATGATGAAGATGATGATGATGATGATGATGATGATGATGAATGCTGATGCTGATGCTGATGCTGATGGTGGTGATGGTGATGGTGATGGATGATGGTGTGATGGTGGTGGTGATGGTGATGGTGATGGGTGGTGGTGGTGTGGTGGTGGTGGTGGTGGATGATGATGATGATGAGATGATGATGATGATGATGATGATGAGATGATGATGATGATGATGATGATGATGATGATGGTGGTGATGATGATGAGGAGGAGGAGAGGAGGAGGAGGGAGAGGAGGAGGAGGAGGAGGAGGAGGAGGGGAGGAGGGGGGAGGGGAGGGGGGAGGGGGAAAAGGGGGAGGGAGGAGGGAGGAGGAGGAGGAGGAGGAGGAGGAGGAGGAGGAGGAGGAGGAGGGAGGAGGAGGAGGAGGAGGAGGAGGGTGGAGTAGCTCCCTACTTGCCTCCCCCCTCCCAGCCGCCCCACCCCACTCTCCCCTCTCGTTCCTCATTCGCTCCCCCTCGTTTCACTCTTTCTTCTGGCTGCTCCTCCCTGCCCTGCTGAGCTATCTGCAGCCATCCTGGATCTAGGGCTGTCCTTGGCGATTGGCAGTGTACGGACATGGCAGAAGGCCAAGGCGGCGGTGCTGCCATGGATGCCGCGGTGCCGCCATCTGCGGAAGAGGCGGCCGCGGCTGCCACCAGACGAGTGAGGCGGGCGAAGTTTTGCGTGGTGTGTCAGACCGTGAAGATGGATGGCGCCGAGCACAAGAGCCGAAGAGGCCACGAAGTCAGAGCTTTGACGCAGGAGGACAAGGACGCAGCGCTGCAGCAGGCGGTCGTCGAAGCTCGCGGTGGCGCGGACGCCCGCAGGGACCGGGTGGCCAGGCAGCAAGCGGAGCAGAGGGAACGGCACAAGGCGTTGCCCGAGCACGCTCCCGAACAGCCTGTGGCGGGCCTGTCGTTTTGCATGACCTTTGGGAAGTACAAAGGTTTGACAGTGGGCGAAGTGCAGCGGAAGGGCCGGGGGCACCTTCCCCACGTGGTCGCTTCAGGCATCGCAGACAACAAGCCCGTGTTGAAGAAAGCCTTAGGGGAAGCCAGGCTCTGGCAGGCCATGGCCAGCAGGGCCCCCGAGGCCAGAATGGAACCCGCGCTAGGGGTGGTTGCTCGGGCCGAAGCCGAGAAGGGCCAGGAGTTGCATCCGGAGTTGCGGCGGCTACGTGCGATCCAGGGAGCAGAAGTTGCTGCCACGCTGGCGTCTGGCGGGGGCGCCGCCCCCCCCAGCTCCGCCGCCGCCTGCGCCGCTCGGGGGCGACGCGACCAGACCTCTGGAGCGACCGAAGAGGCTTTCGACCGCGACGAGGGTCGTCGTCAATTGCAGCGCGTGCGGGTCTCGCGACCGCAAGACGCCGAGCTGCCCCGTCGCCGCGCGCGGGGCCGTGGCGACTCTCCAGGCCAGGGGGCGCCTGCTGTCCAGGATTGCCTGTCAGAAGAGCGAGAGAAAGGCTAAGTTGGCGTCGCGCTTGAAGTGCAGCTCTCTGCGCCAGCGGACGATGGAGGGGCGGCCCCGAGCGCGCGCCAGGGCGCGCGCGGTGGTCAGCGGGCAGATGCTCATGCGCGTGGCCCCTTCTGACCTTGCCCAGGAGCTGGTCCGTTGCGGCCTGTTGGTCGACCTGCAGGGGATGCGCTGCCCCCTCAAGGGGTGCCTCGAGGGAAAGGAGGTCCGGTGCTGCCCCGACAGGTTTCTGGGGCCCGTGAAAGCGGGCCGCCCCATCGGAGGACATCTCCGCCGAGTCCGCGCGCTACAGGTGCAAGGCGTGCCGCGGGGGGGTGCCCGTGACCTTCGGTAGCCCCGTCTTCCGCGGCGCGGGCGGCGGGCAGTTCGGCGCGACGTGCCAGGCGAAGGCCATGTGGAATTGCGTGCAGGGCGCTTCCCTGACGTTCACGTGCTTCGAGCTGAACGTGAACGATGATAGGGTTCAGCGGTGGTGCGACCGCGCGAGGGGGATCGCGGCTGCCGACGCCGTGATCCGCCAGGGCGAGAT